CCGCCGCTCTCAGCCACCGCAGCTCTCAGCGCACTCCTGCTCAAGGACTTCTCCGACCTGCGCCAACCGCACACCAGCCCGGCCGCCGATGACGACGACGCCGGCTCCCTCACCACCTATTTAATCATCTCCTTGGTCTTCGTCTCCCTGCTCTTCCTCGTCTCCACTGCAGCCTTCGTCGCTCGCAGGCTGTGCCAGAAAAAGCAGCTGAAGGCTGGCCACGTGCTTTCCGGGGCCGACAACCTGCCGAGCGGCCTGGCCGATGCAGCTGCTGCGGGGACCCTGCCCCGCCCCTACTGCTACGAGATCAGCCTCACCACGGGCTCGGGCAACAGCGAGTTCAGGTTCCTCAAGCCCTTCGTCCCCAGCCTGCCACCACAGCCCTGTGTCATGGGTGTGGACACCGGTGAGGAACAGGTTTTCCCTTGTGTCCCTGTCCCCACAGAGGACGTGACCCCAGAGAATGCTGGGCCTGTGTCTGCAGAACAGTTCAATCGTCTTTCCTTTAACTAGCACAGGGTCAGCAGAGCCAGAGGCTTCATGCCTCGTGGTTGCAAGGGATGCAGGCTGCAGCCTACGGTAATGGTTCTTCCAGAATAAGCCTGTATTTGCATTTGGCATAACCGAATTCCTGAAATTGTAAGTCATGAAATGTTTGTGTTCCCCTAGAAGCAAATAAGCAAAGAGAAAAAAGGAACTAAAGCAGTTTGACATTCAAACGTTTAGGCTCCTTCTGGTGTTTCTGAGAGGCTTTAAGAATGGGGTAAGCAGACAGAGATGAGCTCTTGTCTCTCTTGCTGTCTGACCAGACGGTGGACATTTTATTCTGTGCTATAAGAGAATGGTACGCCTGGGCAGACTAATCTCATCCTCTCTGAAATGCACAAAGACCTTTTCCCAGCTCAGGAAAAGGAGGAAATTGTGAGTGCTGTGTTAGAGTGTTGTGTAAGCACAGGACTCTTTCGTTCCTGGGTTCTGGATGTCTCTGGCTGAGAAGTGTGGCCTCCGTGTGCTTTCTTGTCGCCATGTCAGTCAATACAGCCACCGTGTGTCTCCTAATTCTCACTAGTGCAGCCCGTGAATTAGGGAGTTGCTCTCATTCAACCACTGCAAAACAGCCAGTTCCCGCTCAGCTGTCACGAAGGGCATTTTCTGAGCACAAGGGTCACATCTTCTCCAGGGCAGGGCAGGGCAGCAAAATGCACAATAAGGTCTTCCTTTGAACGATAAGAGTGGGTTGGGTGTTCTGTGTCCTTGCAGTACAGCAGCACAAACAATGTTTACTTAGACTGTAACTGTACAGAGTTGTGAAAGCACGTTCATTGTCTTTGGATGCATTCCATGCAAACTCCACATGTCTTTCAATGAGCATTTTCCAAAGGTAGAATCAAGATGAGCTTATGAAAAGGACTGAGTTCTATCTCCTCATTGTTGTTCCTAAATTCTCAGAATTGAACTGTGAAACTGTCCCTGCATGATTTTCTGGGTTTGTGTTAGAGCCTTTGTATTCCCCTTTAATCTGTAGTAAT